AGTTTGTGGGTGGGAGGGGGTATGTGGGGACGGGGTGGGGGTGCAGTCTCTGGGAGGGAGGACGGGGTGCGGCACTTACCTGGGGCTCCAAGATGGGGCGGGCCGGGGGTCTCCGCGCGCTTCTGCCCCCAGGCACCGTCCCCACATGTCCCATTGGCCGCAGGGGCGCTCGGGGCGGGGGCAGCGCGTGGAGGCACAGCCCCGCCCCACCCCGCCCTGCCCTGCCCTGCCCTGCCCCTGGGCCACAGGGAAGGGCCGGCAGCCACTGGAGCGAGCAGGCAGACGCCGCTCAGCTCAGCTGCGCTGCCGGGGCCCCTGAGGGTGGAGCAACCGGGGCCAGCAGGTGGGAGAGACCGGCCCCAAAACTGCTGGAGCCCCACGGGCCACATTGGGGAGGCTCGTGGGCTGCAGATGGCCCGCCGGTCAGGAGTTTGAGACCCCTGCCTTAGGGTTTAAAGTGACAGCTCATAATTTTAATGCAGTTTTCAATATACCATAATCATGACAACTACCGGCATCAGGAGCTGCTGAATCATTCAACAAGTGCTGTGTCCTTTGGATACAAGTGCTTCTCAGTGTACTCCTGGGGAATACTGTGCCCCACATATTTCTTTGTGTCCCTACAGAAAAATAGCTTTCTGATGGGGAAGCAAAGGGAAGCCACAAGAGCGGTCATACGACCCTCCCCAGCAGTTTGTTTCGGGTGCCCAGGGCAGCCAGCAGAGAGGTAAATCACTGTGGGGCAGGAGGTGAGACTGGGGAAGACGCAGCTGGTGACTCCTACCATGTGATGGGCTCAGCTGCTAGTCCCAGCTGGTCTGAGGAGGACAGGACGACTTCTTTCCCTACATGGCATCCTGGGTTGGGTCAGACCCACCCCCAGATTTCTCCCCCAACTGCAGGAAGCTCTGCAAACAACCCCCCAACTTCCTGCACCCATCGTTCCTCAGCTTCAGAGGGAGGGATCCCTGTACAGGGAGCTGCTCCTGCATCCGCCCAACCCGCAGGCATCCAGACCCCCTCATATCGAGACCCTTCACTGAGCCTCAAGAATTTTGCAAAAATTTTAATTTTTGGGTGTAGAATGCCCTCAGGGGTATCAGTGACACCTGCTGCAGAGTGCAAGTGACTAGTAATGAGTGTTCAAACTCCAATTCACTCTGTAATCTGTGCCCCTGGAAAATAGGTTTATTTTTCTGCAGAGGCGAGCAGAATTAGTGGAGTTCCTCTGCATTGGAGTGAGTCAGAAGAGATGCAGAGGGAATTCCAATATATGTAATCACCAAAGCTGTGCCAATTCTTCACCATCTTCATTTGTTTGAATGTTGTATCCACATTCTTGAGTTTTTTCTGTTTGTCATTTAGATTATAAATGCTTTGTGTTTGTGTAGCACAAAGGCCTCTAATCCTGATTGGGGCCTTTGAGTACTACCGTAATATAAATATTTACTGCTAATAATTCATGGTCCAGGAGTGTGTGATAATGAAAAATGTAAGTTAATGGCCAGTTAAAACTTGCCTGCAGTCATCTAAAATAGCACGGTACCAAAATGGCAATTGGTTAGGAAAAGCTTTTACATCCTGACCTTCATTAATCAAGTTTAGAGACCTGAAAAAACATTTCAGTCCTTGCATGTACTGATCAGGCTCTTCGAATTAGCAAAATCACTATAGACTGCTTCATACAGCATAAGATCTCCCAGGCAAGGGCCGTGTGTGTGTTCTGTAAAGCACCCAGTACTATTAGGTTAAAACTTATTTTAGAAAAAACAACAAGAAGCCCTTAACTCTGTTTCTGATTCACCTGAGATTACTAAAAATTAGAGAATTTAATTTAATTTACACCTGGCAGCTTGGATGATGAAAATGGGCACAACCATTTCACTTCCAGGTTCTCATGTGCTAGCACAGGGGTCAGCAACCTTTCAGAAGTGGTGTGCCGAGTCTTCATTTATTCACTCTAATTTAAGGTTTCGCGTGCCGGTAATACATTTTAACGTTTTTAGAAGGTCTCTTTCTATAAGTCTATAATATATAACTAAAGTATTGTTTTATGTAAAGTAAATAAGGTTTTTAAAATGTTGAAGAAGCTTCATTTAAAATTAAATTAAAATGCAGAGCCCCCCGGACTGGTGGCCAGTACCCGGGCAGTGTGAGTGACACTGAAAATCAGCTTGCGTGCCGCATTCGGCACACGTGCCATAGGTTACCTACCCCTGTGCTAGCATGACTCTTCAGTGTGCTAGGCCCCGATCTTGCAAAGGACTCTGCAGGTGCAGCAGTGGCAGTGCCCCCACATCTGGTCCTTTGCAGGATTGGGAGCTCTGGTTGCAAACTTTAGGAGGATGTTTAAAAATATCTTTTCCTCCTTAAATTGTGAAAAATATTTCTGTTATTCAGTTGTGGAAATAAACTGCATTTTGATGACAGTGTCCTTTAATCTGGCGTCCATGTACTTGTTCAGAGTCTCAAAGCTTAGATTGGATGATCTCCTTGTCCACTATAGAGAGCTTATAAAGAAGAGACATCTTGTCAGCTTTTTAGTAAATAGCGTTCCTAGTTACTAACTAGTTCTCCAGAGGAAATAACAATAAAATGCCTTTCTGCTTTACAAAGGAACGTCTTGTCTACCTCTCTTTCTTTCTGTCCTCCAGACTTCGTTTTATGGCCGATTCAGGCACTTCTTGGACATCGTTGACCCCCGCACTCTCTTTGTTACAGAGGTAATGTATTTACATTGTTTAATCTCTGAGATACTGCTTATTTGATAGATTTGATTTAAAAGAGAGAAGGAGAGAGAAATGCTTAAGTGCAAGAGAGTCCACTGATATAACATTAGCATTGTTTTGAGGGTCCAATTCTGTCAAGTGCAAAGCATGCTCAGTTCCTTTTGACTTCAATGAGAGTTGAAGATGCTTTCTACCATTCAGGGTGAGGCTGTAATTGCACAAAAACCATGAAATTCAGAGCCAATTTCCTTTGTCCTTTCAGTTAAAGTAGAAGAGCTCACAATAAACATCTCCAAGACCTCCCAGAGATTCTTTAGCAAAAAAAGAAGACCAGACTTGATATTCCTTGTATTTCTAAGTGGAACAACTCCCTCAAACTAACAAAAAACCTTTTCAAGCCTTTACACATCAGAGGAGCAGTAAAGGGCACAAGTCCAAATTAAAAAAATAATAAAATAAAATCTGTTAGAGGTCATTTTCAAGGTTGCTGTGGAAACCTAAAAGTGTGTCTGTACTCTGAGAAGTGGCCCTTGAACAAATGGCACTATGAAGTTCCTTGTTGATCATCTCTGTGTATTCAGATGACACTTATTTAGTTTACAGGTAAAAACCTTTTCCTATTTTGTAACTGACAGTTCCACAAATTCATCCAGGATCTGAAAGTCAACCTGGGTCTTTCCTAGCTTGTGCAGTTTCACCTGAAATAAAGATTCTGCAATTGGAGGTTAGTTAACAGTTCTACTGATGCAGCAAGAGCCAGAATAGAAATAGCTCACTCCCCACTGTACCAGCAGTGTTTGGCTTGTGATGCTCACCGGAGTCATAAAATGTTGTAAAAAGATATTATGCTGTTAAAGTTAGAAGATAGAATTCTGATGCCTGGTCTACACTGGAGGGGTGGAGGGAAGGGGGAGAGAGATCAATCTAAGTTACGCAACTTCAGCTACGTGAGTAACATAGCTGAAGTCTCAGAGGGGTAGCCGTGTTAGTCTGAATCTGTAAAAAGCAACAGAGGGTCCTGTGGCACCTTTGAGACTAACAGAAGTATTGGGAGCATAAGCTTTTGTGGATAAGAAGCTCACTTCTTCAGATGCAAGTAATGGAAATCTCCAGAGGCAGGTATAAATCAGTGTGGAGATAACGAGGTTAGTTCAATCAGGGAGGGTGAGGTGCTCTGCTAGCAGTTGAGGTGTGAATACCAAGGGAGGAGAAACTGCTTCTGTAGTTGGATAGCCATTCACAGTCTATATTATGTTATATATGCCAGCAATGCCCCTCTGCTATGTACATTGGCCAAACTGGACAGTCACTACGCAAGAGGATAAATGGACACAAGTCAGATATCAGGAATGGCAATATACAAAAACCTGTAGGAGAACACTTCAACCTCCCTGGCCACACAATAGCAGATGTAAAGGTAGCCATCTTACAGCAAAAAAACTTCAGGACCAGACTCCAAAGAGAAACTGCTGAGCTTCAGTTCATTTGCAGATTTGACACCATCAGATCAGGATTAAACAAAGACTGTGAATGGCTATCCAACTACAGAAGCAGTTTCTCCTCCCTTGGTATTCACACCTCAACTGCTAGCAGAGCACCTCACCCTCCCTGAATGAACTAACCTCGTTATCTCCACACTGATTTATACCTGCCTCTAGAGATTTCCATTACTTGCATCTGAAGAAGTGAGGTTCTTACCCACGAAAGCTTATGCTCCCAATACTTCTGTTAGTCTCAAAGGTGCCACAGGACTCTCTGTTGCTTAATAGCTGAAGTCGACATACTTAGATAGAGTTACCGTGGTGTCTTCCCGGTGAGTCAACTGCTGCCGCTCCCCCGTCAACTCCGCCTGCACCTCTCACAGTGGTGGAGTACAGGAGTTGACGGGAGAGCGCTCAGGGATTGATTTATCGCGTCTAGACTAGACGCGATAAATCGACCCCCGCTGGATCAATCGCTGCCCGCCGATCCGGCGGGTAGAGTAGACATACCCTGAGTAAGCACAGGGCAGCAAGCACATCTTCTGAGTAAGAAGTTGGCATTTTTACATAGTAACTTTCCTGGTTATAAAAACACTCTAATTTTCCTGATTTATGTGCATTAAATTTTTCATTGAGATTGACATTAAAAAATTTTTGCATTTAATATTTAATAGAATTATTGACCTTAAAGATTATTTTCCCCAAAAGATATATTTCAGTTGGTGGATCATAAACAATGCTGCATACTCCTGTCTAGGGGTGACATGATAGAAAATTCATACATTTTGCGTGGCAAATGCAGCCATGGATGTAAATTGAATTTCAGCGCATTATGCAGAGCACTGGCAGCTGAACTGTCCGTTAAAGTCAGTGGCAGTCTGGATCCAGTTCTTTGCACACCGTACTGAAAACGTGCCCAGCAGCGTTTTAAATGTCTGTCTTTTTTCCAGAATCGATCAGTTTCATTCAAAGACGTAAAGCTATTGGATAGTTCACCTGTGTTCTCTTTAGATTCCTGTCCAAGAGAACCGCAGAGAATAAAACTGCTGTTCTCATGCCATAAAATCGAAGTTTATAGCTTCACTTATAAAAACACAAGTTTGGATGAAAGATGAAATCCAATTTTCAAAAGGCAGTGTCCTTGATGTGGAACACAGTCTGGAGAAATAACCTACTAGCAAGAGAGAGGTTTACAGTCTCATGAGGATGCCTGTGAGCCATCAAACTGGCAAGATAAAGCAGGTTGAAAGAGATGCTGTTACTTGTGAATTCAATGGCTTTCACTAACACTTAAATTGGTATATAAAGAGAACATGACCATGCATCTGGAAATAGAAAAATTACTACAAATTAAGGCTTGATGCTGTTGTTATTTAGCATTAAATTCACTGTTGATAAATGTGAAGTAATGCATACTGGGGGGAAATAAATTTCCACTGTGCATTACTGTGTATTCTCTAACTCAAATTGGGAGTGACTCGATTGAACTAAACGGAGTGACACAAACGTGAATCCATTTTTTATAAGATCAGAACTGGGCCCAAGAGGTGCAGCAAAAAAGTTTTTTTTTTTCAACTGTACAGAGAAATTTCATAGTTTAATTTCCTTTATGTTATCAACCTTATGCAGAAGTTCTTAGTAGGAACTTTTTTCTTTGTTAGTAGGGATGTGAGAAAACAAAGACTCTCAGTAGAAACCCACCCTGTCCTCCCCATCATTAAGGTTTCCTCCTACCTCCTCAGGATTAGAGATGGGCTTGAACCCTGAAGCAGCAAAGCTCTCTTTTAAAGCATTAACTGTTATAAATCTGGATAGTCTTATCTATAGAAATATCCAATACCCCTTTGAATCAGTCTAAGTTCTTGGCCTCACTGACATCCTGTGGCAGTGAGTTCCACTGTGTAAATATGCTCTATCTGAAAAAAATATTTTATTTTATCATTTGTGAGTTTATTGCCTAGCATTTTTTGAATGTCCCTTTGTTCTTGCGTCATGAGACTGTGGAAGCAGAATCTGTGCTACCTTCTTAAGACCCTTCATTATTTTGTATATTTTATTGAGTCTTCTGTTGTTCTTCTCTTTTCTAAGATAATCCATCCCAATCTATTTTTAAAATCTTCATTTGAGAGCTTTTCCATGCCTCTAATAATTCTCATTACATATTTCTGAAACCCCTCTAATTCTGCAAAGTCCTTTTTTGAGATATGGTGAGCAATACTGCACACAGTGTGGAAGTGCATCACTGATTTATATAATGGCATTAGAATAGTCTCTGTATTATTCTCCATCCCATTCCTTATCCATCCTAACATCTTTCTGGCTTTTTTTTGACTGCAGCTGTGCATTGAGCAGAGGTCATCACTGACCTGTACATAACGACACCTAAGTCCTTTTCCAACGTGGATACTATTAATTTAGAATCCTGGAAGGTGTATGAGGAGCTCAGATTTTTCCTTCCAATGTGATTACTTTTCATGTGTCAAGATTGAATTTCATCTGCCATCTTGTTGCCCAGTCACCTGGCTTGGTGAAGGCCCTTTGAAGTTTCTTAGGGCATGTTTACGGGTACCACACTGCAGCGGCGCAGTTTGTCTGGTAAAGATGCTCTATGCCGACAGGAGAGCGCTCTCCTGTTGACTTAGTGCTAGGCACATGAGCACGTATATCGGTGTAATTTATGTTGCTCAGGAGAGTGGTTTATTCATACCCCTGAGCGACGTAAGTTATGCCAACATAGGCTGTAGTGTAGACATAGCCTTAGTCTTCTCTGTACTTGACTAACATAGTAGTTGTGTCAGCTACCAAGTTTTTTTTTCCCCTTGCTACTCTCCCCTTTTTTCCAGATTGTTTATAAATATATTGAACATTGGACCTAAGATGGAACCATTAACCTTCCGCGCCCCCCCCCCCACCCTCCCCGGGGGGAGGGTGGGGGGGCTGCTAACCTTTTTTCATGATTAAAATTAACCATTCATTCCTTCTCTTTGTTTTCTGCTGTCTAGCTAGCTTTGCTCCATGATAAACTTGACCCATCCCACCCCACCCCATGATTACTTACCTTCTTTAGTAGACTCTTATGAGGGACCTTGTCAAAGGCCTTTAGGAACTTTAAATAAATTGTCAACTGGTTCTCCTTTATCCACCACATTACTGACACCTTCAAAGAATTCCAATAAGTTAATGAGACATTATTTCTCTCTGCAGAAACCATGCTAGTTAAACCTTATCATATCATGATGATTTCTCAGGGATAGTTTAGCAGATTCCCAGAAAGTGAAACTGATCATCTCTCTTGTTTTGTGGATGGAATTACTGGAGTATACTGAAGCTCCCACGAACCCTTTGCAGCACATCATAGAGCAACATTAACTCTTTTCTCTTGGTTAATCTCTTTCTCAGTAAAACAGATATTAATATCTAGGATCACGTAAAGAACCCCGAAGCATGTACAATCTGCTTTGTTTGTCTACGCAGTTGCTGCACTATTGGTGTCTGACTCACTGCTCTGAAATA